AGGCGGCGGCCGCTCTGGCAGCAGCCATGCCAGGGGCTGGAGGGGCCAAATCTGAAGCCAGAGGCAACGGCCCTCTGCCTGGAGGAGGAGGGCTCATGGAGGAGATGAGTGCCCTGTTAGCAAGGAGGTAGCGACACATCATATATTACTCTTCGATTCAGTACGTCTCAAAATAGGCACTTGAGTCATATGAATGAATTTCAGATCTTGTTTCATATACTACAGAAAAGTGAAACTTGACACAGTTGCCATACAGTAGATTTAGCAAACCCCAATGTTGGTCGCAATGGATTTTGTTGTGCCACCTGAAGAATAAGTTCATGTACTCATCACTCTCACTATTCCTCAGTATTATGAGATGATATGTAGTAAAATCGTAATTTAAATGCACTTTGTTGCTGACAGAGAAGTATCACTGTAAGATCTAGAGAAATCTAAGGAATTTAGGTTTTAAAAATGTGGAGTTCAGGAGGAATTGTGTGGTCTGTGCTTTATGATATTAACATTAAACATGATGATATGTTTTTAAAAATAGCAACTGTTTTTCAGAAATAATTCTGGACTCTGTCTTACAGGAGAAGAATTGCAGAGAAGGGCTCATCACCTGAACCTGACCAGAGATCAGTAAGTACCATTAGATCCTTCTTGTCTGCTGTATTCATGGGGTAGGACTGGATAAGTCTGACTTCTTCCTACTCCATTCAAGCATGTACTAGGTATAAGCAAATTGATATTGGATTAGCATTTGTTGGATATGTGTAAAATTATGTGTGTTGACATATCAACTGTCTTTACATGCTTGAAAGAATAAATCAAATCAATCAATCAAAGGGTCATAAAGACTGCAGAGAGGATCACTGGGACTGAACTGCCTGCTATGGACACACTGTACACACAGCGCTGTCGTAAAATGGCGGAGAACATACTCAGAGACCCACGCCACCCAGCTCACACTCTGCTCAGACACAAAAACTGCACCTACAGCCTCAGGCACAGTAGGGCGGACAGTATCATCACACACAGAACAAGACTTTACAACAGCTTTTTCCCTGCCACAGTAAGACTGATGGCACATATGAAAATGTGAGAATATATGTGCAATAACCTCTCACTACCTCATCAAGTGTAATACCATATCCAGCTCCACCATTTGAAATACTAAGTGTGATGTTTGAAGTTCACTGCGGGAAATGCTATTACCCTATTTTTGTGTATTGTTTTTTAATACTTTGTTGCCTTTATGTAACTTTTCTATTTTAAGACTAAATGTTCTTTCTGGCTTTTAACTCCTTACCTGACTCCAAAGGAGAGCTGCACAAGAATTCCTATATGCCTAGACTGTCTGTTTATGCATAAATGGCAAATAAAAATCTTGAATCTTGAATCTTTATAGCTTGAAATGTTGCTCATTCAGTCTGATACAGCAGCTCTACAATAAATGGTATATTTGTGACTCTTCTGTTTACTAATTGATTTTTCAGATCAGTTTGTTTTAATATTGTATTAGACAGCATTCGATGTTAAGCTGCCTATTATTTTGCAATCCAGTACAAACTTCAGAAAAAAAATGACAAGGCATCTCTCTGCTGTGTCTGTCAACAAAATGTGCATAACAAACTTCACAAGTCTTATTAGTTACTCTATTAAATATTTATATAATAAGTGATCAGGATATGGTGTCCAAGTCTGACAAATGTAATTTTGAATTAGTTTATACAATTTAACCTAAAATGAACAAAGGCTGACAGATAAAAATAAATAAATAAATAAATAAAATCCTCTATCCTCATTTAGTAGACGCCTCTTTCTGAACAAGGACAAATTGAGATCTCATCTTATTTTTAGCTGTGACCAGCAGCTGGTATTTGTCATTGCACAACCACACAATAGTCAACAAGACTTTTGTGCGGCTAGGCATTTGCACACAGACTACTTGAAGTTTAGCTTTCCTCTGTAAATTCACTCTAAACCCAGACTTCTAACCCTAACACCTAACCCAGACAGATACATGTACCATAGAGCTGTGGCACATTGAAACTATTATGGTGAGTATGGTGGGACTGATGCATTATACTGTATGTTGCATTTTCAATGAAAATACTATGCTAGAAAAACATTTTATAATCAAGTTTTGTGTTTTGAATACAGGGTTTTGTTGTTTTACTCCTTCTGATCCCAGCAACAGTCTGCTCCCCAGTGTTTCTTCCAGTTGACTGCAATGATTTGTACAACGGAGGTTTTGGTCATAGTGGGGTGTACAGCATCTACCCAGCAGGACCACTCTCCCCTGTCCAGGTCTACTGTGACATGGGCTGTGAAGACGAACCTGATGTGGGTAAATGGACGGTATGTACATTTATAATTTACTTTTTAAGTATTGTTCATTAAATGATTTTAGCGGGCTGAACACTTCAGTTTGGTGAGATTACATTTCTACAGCAGTTTCTCATTGAACTTGGTGTCTTATGTAAGACCATACAAAAGGACTTGTAACTGTATCTTAGTGCCAAACCAAAAAGATATCGTGTGTGTGTTTATTCAAAAAAGCATAGAAAGTTAGGTAAGTCAGCCAGTACTTGCAGCCTACTGAGTAACCAAACCCGTGGATCTAATTTGCAGTAGTTTGACTGCAAGACATTTGGTATATGATGCTAAAGCTGTGTGGGGAAAAACATTTTCATATTTTTTTATTCCTAAAAACTAATTCAGTTACCTACAGCAGTTGGATTGCTATAATGTGCACTAGATATATTAACTCACACTGAATTTGAATTTTTGATCAACTAGTAATAAGGTGGCGGTTCAAGGAGGTGGGACTCACATTCAACTCACATTAAATTTGAATTTTTGATCAACTAGAAGAAGGGTATTTCTTTGAAGCAGGCTGTTTGGACCAGTTTACTAAAGCAGAGCTTGCTGGTTATATTACAGCTCCGGCCCTAACCACAGATTCCATTCCAGGTCATTCAGAGGAGAAAGGACGGCACCATTAACTTTTACCGTGGATGGGACCAGTACAAAACAGGATTTGGACAAGCGTCTGGAGAATACTGGCTGGGTGAGATTCACATTTTGGTGGGACCTCTTGAATCCTCTGGTCTGAAGCATATTGCACATTCAATATGTTAGTCTTCACTCACCATCATGGCTGATTCTGTAAATAAACATATGATTATTTTTGCACACACCACTTTATGACCTTGGGTCCATCCATTTAGAAATATTTTCCCTCCCAGGTCTGGAGACCATTCATCTCCTCACTCTGAGGAAGGCCTATGAGCTGAGGATAGACATGGAAGACTTTGAAGGAGCAAAGGCCTTTGTCCATTATGCTTCCTTCTCTGTGGGTCCAGAGCAGGAGGGTTACAAGCTTAGTTTTAGTGGCTTCAAAGATGGGGGAGCTGGTGAGTCTAATGGATTATGGAATTGTTGCTTCAATCTCTGTCAGCAGAAGTAGTCTAATACAAGAATGCAAGGCTTAGTACCCTATAGCCAAAACAGGCCTTCAATTAATTTTCTTTTTCATTTTTTTCAGGAAATGCACTAAGTGAACACAACGGACAGAAGTTTTCTACGTTTGACAAAGACCAGGACACTCATTCCTCAAACTGTGCAAAGACCTACCTGGGAGGATGGTGGTATGGAGAATGTCACAGTGTCAATGCCAATGGTCTTTACTTATGGGGCAGCTCAACCCAAGGAATTGGCATCAACTGGGTGTCTTGGAAAGGATATCAATATTCTCTGAAAGCCATTGCAATGAAGATAAGACCAAAACAGTAATGTGAATAACCAAAGAGTAATTCTTTTATTATGACTAAATATGGATCATTTATTTAATTTCATAGTATGTTACTTATCTGCTTGTTTACCACTTTGTCTGCCAGCACAATAAATTATAAGCAGTATGGTACTATTAGTCCTTACTTTACTTTACTTTAACAGCATTATGCCAGATCACCTTTGATAGAATAATTACAACACAATAAAACATATACATTTTGCATGTTTGTTTATTGCTGTGCTTTTATTTCCCTTAAAATAAAGATTAAAACATATATTCTTGTCACTTAATGAGAATAGAACATTAAAGAGTGCATATATTTCACACCTATAAAGGTCTATATATGTTATGTGCATACAGTCAATGAGGAATCATGATTATTTTTGCAGTTACCGTCTCACACAGACAACAGGCAACATCCTATGGCCCCAGTCCAAGTTCAATGCTGCTAAGAAAGAAAGTTCTGTAAGCTAAAAAGTCAGCTACTAGTCAGTGACTACAGACAACTGACAAATTAATCAAACCTTATTTCTTTCCTGCCCTCCTCTGCAGTCGACCAGTTGGATCTGCATGCTTCAGCACTGTCATGATCATGTACAGATGATTGGTCTGGTGCTGCAGAGGAGGCTCCTTGGCTGTGATCACTTTAACTGTTTGCTGAATAATAGAAATAAAAATACCTCAACATATACCTTGGCAAAGCCAGTTATTTTAGTGACTTTACCCTCAAATACTGTACATTCATGACATTACTTGCCTGAGCCACCTCTTCTTGTGTCTGGCCTAATGAAGAGAAGATCTTTTTTGAGTAAGGCAGATAAACTTCATGGAAGATTCTGGCAGTCTCCTCATCTGTCCCTGATAGAGCCATCTTCTCAGCATCTTCATACACTTTCCTTTCAAACTTTGTCACCACAGAGCCAGGTTCCACTGGATTCATCCTTGTATGAGAAAAAACAAGATAACATACGGGTCCACTGCCCCATTACAGTCAACAATGTACTGGTAACTCAAGTCATAGTTGTTTGGTAGCTGCATCAGGTTGTTAAAGTGCATGTATTTTTCTAGGACATGTAATGACTTGGTTTTAAACTTCGCTACTTGCACTGCCAGACTTTGACAAAATCCTTCCACAGCAAATTTGGAAGCAGAGTGGACATCACTGAACAGACACCCTGTGTAAAAAGAAAAGGAAACTTGTTACTGATTTCTTTATTCTCTTTAAATTGCTTCTCTTGTTATTTCATTGACACAGACACACCCTGTATTCCCATGATGCTGCTCATCACCACAATATGGCCACTCTGCCGCCGATTCATGTCAGGAAGCACCTCTCTCACCAGCCGTGCCAGCCCAAAGAGGTTTGTGTCTAAGAGCTTCATGGCTTCCTTCATGGCAGCAATACTTTGGCGTTCCAGTGCTCCAATCATTCCAACTCCTGCATTGTTCACTATAACAGCAGAATTATTATTATTATTATTATTATTATACTGTATGTTTGTGGAGAGAGAGTTTAAATTCACGTAAAAGATATCTTTGACAATGAGAGTGAAAGGACCAAGAACGTCCACCCTTCTATCCGGCAGGCTGTTGACTGAATCTCTGATGGAGGCTTCACACTTGCACTTCTGACCTCAAGACTCAAGAGAATCCTGGCTGCTGAGTTAAAAAAAAAAAATTATGCAAAAGGGGAATCTAAATTAAAGGAATATTCCTCTCACAATATTATTTCACACAATAAAGACATTATTTTGTGATGGCATGTTGTAATTCACTTAGTGAACCCTTTTGTCCTAAATGTACCATGATTTCTTACTTTGTCTTCGATGCTTTTTAAACTTGCAGTTCCCCACTGTGATCACTGGAGGGGAGTGAACACCCATGACACTGAATACACCCGGGTAACTCATGACTATAGCCTACATCCGGAAAAACCTGTCAAAACAAAACTATCCAAAAGGGTATCGACGTTTTATTTGTTTATTTGTTTGTTTATTTGTTTGCTTTTAATGTTTTTTGTTTTGTTTTTGGTTTTTTACAATAATAAGAACACTGTGCTCAAGAAGAGGAATTAAACAGTGCTAGGTCCTGGCATGACCTGGGGTTTGTGGAACTATTTGCATGAAAAATTTCATATGTTTGCCTATTTTATCTCACTCTTTTTATCACCAGGTAAAGACCAGGACATTCTTGTAACTCTAAGCTGCTTGTGTACTTTGGTTACACATTAGCCCTTTTCAGTATTCATTATAAAAATCAGGACACTGAAGTCCTTTTTTGTTGTCACTCTCCTTTCTTCAAATGGGAACAAACTCCAGCAGACTGGTCTTTACAAAAAGGTATCATGTGGTCAGCAAAAAGCACAAAGTAAATCATTGTTTGGTGACACAAATACTGTCATATTAGCCCATCATTATTGTCTGAGCCATTTGTTTGTTTCTCTTTCACTGTGTATACCAGAGCCAGGGAGGCCACGTGACACTCTGTACATGAGAACTGGGCGTTTCACTCCTGTTGTGACCTAAAACATGAGCCACCACATCAGATGATAATCTGTCACAAATCAGCCCCCCGCAAAAGGAGGATTTCACAAAGACTTGATAAAGACATTAAACAGTACATAAAGACTAAAAAAAAAGCTTCCAGCATTTAGTATGTACAGTAAACATTAAGAAAAGAAGTTCCTGTTTTATGTAGTATACAGTGATCAGCCACAACATTAAAACCGCCTGCCTAGTATTGTGTAGGTCCCACTTGTGCTGCCAAAACACCACTGACCCACTGAGGCATGGATTCCACAAGACCTCTGAAGGTGTCCTGTGTATCTTGCACCAAGATGTTAGCAGATTGTTTCCGTCTTGTAAGTGGGTGCTCCATGGATTGGGTTTGTTTTTCCAGCATGTACCACAGTTGCTCCATCAGACAGAGATCTGGGGAAATTGGAATCTAGGGCAACACCCTGAACTCTTTGTCATTCATTCATCCATTTTCTACCGCTTAATCCCTGAGCGGGGTCGGAGCCAATCCCGGCCAGCAATCGGGCGAAGGCGGGGTACACCCTGGAAAGGTCGCCAGTCCATCGCAGGGCTAACACATAGACAAACAACCACACACACACACACACACACGCCACGCACTCCTATGGGCAATTTAGAGACACCAATCAACCTAAGCTGCACGTCTTTGGAGTGGA